CACCACCTGTCCGGGAAGCGTCGCGGCCCAGGGGAGCGTCGGGGGGGGGGGGGGGGGGCGCAGACAAAAAACACCTTGCATATTGCAGAAACGGAGCCTGGACTTCAGTGGTCTTGATGAATCAGTGCTCTTCTCCGGAGCTGCTTTGTGCTCTTTGCCTTTGGCACACATTTATCGTAGATGGGGGTGCCCGCTGAGTAAGAAGACTGTTGCTTCCCGTTCTTGGGCTTAGCAGCTTGCGGGGTTCGCACGCGCGCCGCATCAGCTAGCAGCACTTGCGAAAGGGACACAGGTCGCAGAGCAGCCAACATGAGCATGACGAAGAGACATGGCGGCTTTGACCACCTTCTGTTTCGACGGGGGAAGTTGTGGAGGAATGCACAGGAGGTCAGTGTAGAGTTTTTTGGATTAAAAGTAGCTCGCTCGCTGCGCAGGTAAGTGAAGAAGCTTGGAATGTAGGAATACATGTCCGATGGGAGTTGTTGCGGAACCTCTTGTTGGGCGGGTTTGACAACAGCACGGCACCAGCTTGATTATGCGCGCGCGATTGCAGAACAAGTCTTGTGATTGGGCGATGAACCTGTGCTCTTTCGAGCAGTGAGGCCAGGGCATCAAGCATCACAGATACACCCCTCTCCAAACATCCCTTGAGACAGCGGTACGTCTTCCCTCTGGCAGTTAAGTCAGCCCTGGCACTTCCCGAACAGAATGCGCTACTGGAGGATTGGAGTTGATAGCAATGAAACATCTCAAGCCCAATTCGGCATTTTCCGAGTTGGAGAAAACTGCTGTTTGCCTTTCGTTTTAGGCTTTGCTGGCGGAGTCGCGCGCACGCGCAGTCAAAGAGCCAGCTATGCCGCCAGGAACACACTTTCACGCTCCATGATGCCTGACCAGATGTGCGAAGAGCTGATTTCCAAGCGCAAGTCAATGACCACAATGTGGCAGCTTTTCCAGCAGTTGCAGGCTGTCATTAGAACGCATGTGACAAGCTTGATTATGTTTTGTGTTTGGGAGAGTATGCTACAACAGCGCACAATATAATGCAGCATACAGTGGTCAATTGTGGTATATTAGTGTGTACCAGCAGTGTTCGGTCCGCGCAGAGGCAATGCTGAAGGAAGCCACTGACGAAGTTAAGTATTGGAAGGATGAGGCGGACCTGAGCTCATTTGTCAACGTCCCGCAGTTCAGCCTTGCTGCAGCCATCAACACGAAAATCGTAGTCGGATAGTATGTCGCGTGGCATGCTAGCACACATTACATACTGCAGTAGGCTGGTAGGCCTGTCTCAGCCTTGCAAACTCTGGAGGCAGAGGACCCGAAAGTGTTCCACAGTGATGAGTTTTTTCCTGGCTCTTTCTGCGGAGCTGGAATGTTTGCGACTGTGTGTGCCGTAACCCTGACAGACTGCCCAGTTACGTTGAAGAGGTGGGTGTAGAGCGCTACGTGCACACATGAAATATAGATGCATACTCATCTGTCAGTATGTAGAGCGCCGGGTGCGTAAACGAATATGCATAATGATACTCTGTTTGTCCGAGCGCGTTTGCCTGCATATGTGTGTGTGTGTAAATCCTTGAAGCTAAGGGCAGCGATCCATGCATGTTTGAAAAAAGCAGGGGCCTAGCTCGGACTACTGGCAGTCGGCGTCCTGGGCTTCCCAAACATTTCGGATGGGAGGCCTGCACAGTGCACACTGCAGAGCTGTTCTCCCTTGTCTGCTCTCTGAAATTCGGTCGGCCAGGTCACTGGCACCTCCTGGTGTTTGAGCGTAGTGCACTCTTTGGAACCATACGTGCTGCAAGCCAAGACATGCCGCATCGCATCTTTGCTGTCCCTTGCGTTATTCGCGTCTCGCAGCCACGTGTTACGTGATTTGGAGCGGTGTCGCCCCTAAGCCTGCCTGGAGGCTGCATCAAGAACACTTCCCAGCCTCTGGGACATTTCCCTCCCTTATCCCAGCAGCGCCCGTAGCTCCTGCCCCCCCTCTGCCGGCACAGGATCCGCCAGGTCGGCTCGACTTGGCTGCTTGGCTATCTTCCCCAGATGCCATCCCCCTTGTGCGGGAGTTACGCTGGGCCTTGCTCCCCCCGTCCCGTGGACGCGCTTGCACCCTCGCTCGTCCCTCCCGTGCTGGGGTGCTTCTGGCCCAACCTGGGACCAACTCACTGGTGCCCTGTCGCACCGATGCCGCTGCAACAACGCACACCACGGTTGCCTGCTGCGAATGCAGAGGTGCTATACTCCCCACGCCGCTTGGTGCACCCAGACCTTGTCCTGCTTTCGCACGGTTTCTGGCACCATATGCCAATCCTGTCAGCAGTCCTTGCATTTCCGAGGCCAGTGTCGCTGGAACCGAGGGGCCGTTGCCGACCACTGTGTCCTGACTGCTTTTGGTCCTGGTCCCAAGCGCTCGCGGCCTCCCCGTGCAAAATACCCTTTACCTCCTGAAGCCCCTATTTTATGGTGCACCTTCGCTCCTGCGCACCTTCTTGCTTCCCCGGCGCCGTCTTCCTCTCCGCAGGGGACGCTGCTGGCCTTGGCCTACCTGCACAACGACGGCCAGACCCATTTGACAGAGCTCAGCGACGTCTCAGCAAACCTTGCGCGTGACTGGCGTGAGTCTGTACTCCGCCGTGCTTGCCGCGCCCTGACTTCTTTCGGGGGCCATAAGGGAAAAGCTGCTGCACTTGCCAGGGTTTCTTTTTTTCTCCCCCTTCCTCCCGCCCCCTCTCCCCTCCCCTCCCATCCCTCCCCTCCCATCCCTCCCCTCCTATCCCTTCCCATCCCTTCCCATCCCTCCCCTCCCCCTCTCCCCTCCCCTCCTCCCTCTCTTCCCCCCTCTCCCTGCACCTTGTCGAACCTTCCACGCAGGGCGGCCATGACGTTTTCGGAGCTGCCCTGCGATTGGGGGGGGAAGAGCGCAGGCGGCTGCAGCTACTGCTGCCAGCCACATCACATCACATCACATCACATCACATCACATCACATCACATCACATCACATCACATCACATCACATCACATCACATCACATCACATCACATCAAGGGTGTTTAGTTTCTCTTGTAGTTATACTGCGAAGTTCCACAATGGAGAGTAAGTTGCAGTATAAGATGCCCCAAAACCTTATTCTAGTTAATAAATCCCCTGCAGTACGCTGTATCTGTGCAGGAGATGGCCCTAGACCGCGACGCTAAACCCTAAACCCAATACGGGCTTCGAAGTGCAAGCGACGAAAGAGGCCCGTAAACACAGCCTTAAACCCTCAATGAACCCCAAACCCTAAACCTAAACCTTAAACCCAAAGCCTTACAGCCTAAGCCCGAAACCCCTGAACCCTTAAGCCTTCAACCACCAGGAAATGACCTACTTGCTTCTCTCCTGGTTGCAAGACTCCGCTCTATGGGAGCATCGGGATGAGAGGTCCGAAGCCCCCCAGGCAAGGTCGCGACATTTATTGAATTAGAGTTTAGGGTACGGTTTTAGGAAGTTTAGGGTTTAGGGTTCAAGGGCTTAGGGTTCAGGGGTTCAAGGGTTTAGGGTTCAGGGCTTAGGGTTTCCTTCACGCAAGAACGCAAAAGTTCCAAGCCGTCAGCTATCCTCACCTAATTCAGAAACTTCTGAAGCTGAAACCATCTTAACCCTACACCTTACATCAACCCTATAGCCTTTTCAAACCCTTGTACTTGCAAAACCGTCCCTGAAACCCTTGCAAGTCCTAAGCCCCAACACGTCTACGGCTCCATCAAGCCCCCCTAAAACCTTACAGCACCGCCTAGGAAGCCTTATAAGGCCGTGACCTAAACTGCACGACCAGTTTAGTGTCGATCCCCTAACCCCTAACCCTAAACCCTAACAGGCCAAAGAGGCAGCGCCAAAGGGCCTTCCAGCCGCCTGGCCCTGTAGAGTTCGGGTTTGCGGTCTAGCGCTCAGGGTCCGGGATGAGGTTTTTAGGGTTGAGGGTTTAGGATTCAATTAGGGTTTAGGGTTTAATCAAGGTTTAGGGTTTAATTAGGGTTTAGGGTTTAGGGTTTGGTTTTTGGGGTTGTGAGGCAGGGCTTGGGGTTTGAGGAGATTCTGGGCTAGTGGGTGAGGGGCTTACGCGTTTTGGGGCTCGTCTCTTGCCTAAGGGGCAACCCAGAGCACCCAATACCCCTTAAATTAAGGAATATACCTTAAATTATTGGGGCCTTAATATTAGGATTTAAGGGTATATTCCTTTTTTTAAGGGGTATTGGGCTCTCTGGGAAGGTGTGGCCTCAGGAACTTCGGTCCCAGGCTCCGGACGATGCCCGCTGTGTTTTTCCTAGTCTGCTTCCTTGGTGCTTCACAGTGTAGAGCTTTGGAGAGCTTTCGTGGGGCGCCTGAGGGAAAGTCCAATGCCCTCCAAATTCCATGCCCAACCTCTTGGCCTTTGGAGCAAAATCCCTAGACCCTAAGCCCTAAACCTAAACCCTAAACCCTAAACCCTAAACCCTAAAATCGCTGTCTCTCTTACCCCGCCGCCCTCCCTCCCCCACCCATGGAGCACACACAAAGCCTGGACAGCAGGGGTTTAGGGTTTAGGGCATCCAAGAGCTTTGAGTTTTAAACGACCGCAAGGTGCACAGCTCCCTCTGCTCTGAATCCTTGGCCCTGTCTCTGGAGATCTTTTTTTCATTTCAAGGACACTTCAAGCCCGGAGCCCTTAGCCTGAGCCTTAGCCGTAGTCCGCAGTCGCTGAAACCTTAACCCTAAGCCCTAACCTGAAGCATCGCAACCTGGATCACCAAAACTTTGGCGCAGAACTCCTAAGTCATTTAAGTCACCAAGAATAGCATAGGGTTTCTCCAAGGGCTGTATGCAGGCTACTGCAAGGCTTGTTAGGAGGGGTTCCAAGAGGAGTTGAGGGTTTAGGGCTTGGTTTTTTTTGGTAGTGGGTTAGAGTTCGAGTGGAGTCTTTTGTGGGTTAGGCACCCTAAACCCTAAACCCTGTTTGGGGCGTGAAGAGCTCAGGTCTTCCTCCATGTCTACGACGTGTCGCAGGAGGAGGGCATCCAGAAGATCAACCGCGTGCTGGCACACAAGCACTCCCCACTAAAGTTTGGGGGAGTCTTCCATGCCGGCGTCGAAGTGATCCGGCTGCAGATCCAGGGCCCTAAATGGCCCAAACAGCTCTGAAACACCACGTATAAGGACCCAGAGCAGTTCCCGGTTCTAAGACCCGGACCTATCGAAACCCTAAACCCTAAACACCCTAAACCCTAAACCCCCAACCCTAAACCCCAAACCCTAAACCCTAAACCTTAAAACCCCAAACCCTAAACCCTAAACCAATAGCTGGGGATCGAGGTGAACGGCCTCGAGTGGTGTTTTGGCTACTCTGGGAGCGAGACTCACCCGGGCGTGGCCTGTGTGGAGCCGAGGTTCCTCCTTTGGGTTTTGGGGGGGTTCAGGGTCCAGGGTCCAGGGTTTAGGGCTTAGGGGTTTAGGGTCCAGGGTTTAGGGTTTAGGGCTTTCGGGGTTTAGGGGTTTAGGGCAGTTTAGGGTTTAGGGGGTTTAGGGCAGTTTGGGGTTTAGGGTTTAGGGTCTTGTAGTTCAGAGTTTTGTTTTTTGTATGTAACGGGTTGGCCCTATAATTAGGGTTTAGGGTTTCGGGTATTGAACTGTTTTATAGTATGTACCACAACCTTCGTCAAAGGATGAAGCAGCGTAGTATACCCCAAAAACTCTGTTCTGCTGTCATCCAAGAGGCTTCTTCGTTTTAAGAGGACGCGTGAGGATTCGGTTGGGTTTAGGGCCTAGGGTTTAGGGTCTAGGGGGTTGGGGTACAAAGTTATGAGTTTACCGTCGAACCAAAGGTTCCCATGTGTCCCGAATACCCCATCTCCTTTGGCCGAAGCTTCTTTCAAGTGCTGGCCGCCCGAGCCCTTTCTTCCGGCATCGTGCTCTTGAACATAGACGAGTTTGGGGAAAGTTTAGGGTTAGGGTTCGGGTTGATTTTGAGGGATCTTCTTCATTCTTGCTCGATTCTTGCTTTAAGGATCAACTTGGGTGTTTGGTTTTGGAGTAGCTTGCAACCCACTCAAGACCGAGGGGACATCCGCAGCATCACTACCGTCACTTGGCTCGCCCTTGTTGGACTTTTTTGCTGTGTGCTTTGGTCTTGTGGGTCATGGGGCTGAATGTGTGGATAGTAATTCTATGGGGTTTGGCGTAAACATTGACATGACGAGTGAAAGATAATCATCTGCCGTGGGTGGTCCCCGAAACGGGTTCCATGTCGTTAGGGATCTTTGTTACATGCCAAAAAGATGCATTGCTTAAGGGAGACTGGAATCTCTGGCTAGCCAAGGTCAGACGGTGGCCATGGGCTACACTCGCCTCAGCGGCGAAGAGGTCGCAGACATCGTCACCCAGCTCCTGGAGGAATATCCCGGCCAGGACGAGCAGTGAAACCCTAAACTCCGAAATCGTGAGCGAGAGTTCGGAACTTGCGTTCGAAGCTGAGGGCACGAATCCAACACTTGCACCTACCTCCAGCATAGCGTCCTCAAGAACAAGCAGCAGTGGTCTATCTTTTGCAGCTCTAGCAGATTTTTACGCAGGGTTCCCGTTGAAATCGTGTCCATACAGCACCCAGTAAACAACGCAGCAATGCTTGCCATGAAAGAGTTCTACCCGGATACCTTAAAGACCCAAAGTTTAAGGTTCAGGGTTTACGTTTTAGGGTTTAGGGTCCTGACCTGGCTTTGTCTCACGTCAGCGCTCGACGAACCGTCATCCTCCTCCTGCTCCGTAAAGAAGTAGTCTTCCCAATGCCCCAACTTCATGAGAACCCTAGGGTTTAGGGTTTAGGGTTTAGGGTTTAGGGGCTAGCTTACAAAGCGGCAACCGCAACATGTCAATATAGTTTACAGAGAGGGGGCCTTGAAAGAAAGGAAGACTCAGATAGCCTCCACGCAACACCCTCCGACCCCTTTAGGGATTCCCGGAACTTCCGGGAGTTTAGGGCTTCGGGGTGAAGGGAGCATAGGGAGATTGAGGTTGAGGGTTTAGGGGTTCATATAGGGTTTGGGGTTTAGGGGTTTATACAGGATGTAGGGTTTAGGGTTTATATAGGGTATAGGGTTTAGGGTTTATATAGGGTTCAGGGTTTAGGGTTTATGTCGGGTTTAGGGTTTAGGGCTTATATAGGGTTTGGGGTTTAGGGTTTATCTTGGGTTTAGGGTTTAGGGCTTATATAGGGTTTCGGGTTTAGTGAGTTTCCGGAACTTCCTCTTCCTCGAAGTTCGTCTGTACCCTTACCGTCGCCGAAAACGGAACTTCCAGGCTCTCTGGGTGACCGCGACAACTTCAGAGCCTAAACCATCAACCCTAATTTAATCCCTGAACTTCTGAACCTTAAACCCTCAACCCGAAACTCTAAATTCTTGAATCCTGAAGCCTAAATCCTGAACCCTAAACCCCAGAACGCCCCTCAGGACTACGACCTTCTGCGCCGGAACTGCTGCCACTTCGCTGACGACTTTGCGCGTCGCCTGGGCGTTGGGGGCATCCCTGGCTGGGTCATGCGCCTAGCCAAGGTCGGTGCAGGCTCGAGTCAGAAGGGCAGCTTTCTGAATTAGGGTTTAGGGTTTAGGTTTAGAATTTAGGGGTTAGGGTTTAGGGTTTAGGGGCAGTTTTCTAGATTAGGGTCCCTTTTAGGGTCCTTTTTTTTAAGGGTGCCGTGCCATATTGGGGACCTGAAAAGGGACCCTAATTTAGAGAGCTACTCCAGAAAGAGGCTGTTTTGTTTTTTTTTTTCAGCGCCGCAATGTGTTCAGAAGCGAGAGGCCTGAGAATCCTTGCCCTAAACCCTAAACCCTAAACCCTAAACCCTAAACCGTGCTTGGCCCTTCCTTGAGAACCTGGCCTTTTCCGCAGGGGTGGAAGCCATGATAGCGTCGGCGCCCAAGCCCATCCGGCAGCGCTTCGGATTTCTGACAGGGGAGGAAGACTCGGATTGAGACTGTTGATGATATACATCCTTAGCACTACCTTAAGGATCCCTAAATTATGGGACTTGTGGTACATTCCCTTATTGTGGGTAATGCAGGATTTATATCCTCAACCCTGAACCCTAAAACCTAAACCCCTAAACCCCTAAATCCTAAACCCCCTAAAGTCCTAGATATCATCAACCGGATGAATCCGAACCCGAGCCGTGGGTTCGGGGGGGCCCCTAGACTGGCCCATTCGGAAACCTAAAGCCTCGAAGCGGCTATTTAGGGTTTAGGGTTTAGGGTTTAGGGTTTAGGGGTTTAGGGTTTAGGGTTTAGGGTTTAGGGTTCATGATGTGCTATCGGTCCCTGTTATGGTAACTTAGGTTAAATCCCTTAACAAGAGCATTTTAAGGATCCAAAAACAACTCCCAACCCCCAGAGGTTTAAACCCTAAACCCTTAGACTCTAAACCCGAAAATTAGCCCTTAAACTCAACTCTAAACCCTAAACCCTAAGCCAGAAGATCCTGAATTCAGCCCCCCCCCCCCTCCTTGCACGGAGGGAGTTGCCAGGGCTGGACGTTTCACGAGCGATGCGCGAACAGATCACCGGGCGCCTGCCAGAGGGAGAAAGTGGGAGCAGAGCTGCAAGAACCTGAGATTCACCCTAAGCCCTAAACCCTAAACCCCAAACCCTAAACCCTAAACCCTAAGCCCTAGGCCCTAAGCCCTAAACCCTAAGCCCTAAGCCCTGAGCCCTAAACGGTTGTTGGAATCCCGAAGCCATGGACCCTGAAACTTTCAGAACCCTTCCGCTTTTTTTTTGGGGGAGGGGGTTTGGGGATTTAGGGTGTAGGGTTTGGGGGTTTAGGGTTTGGGGGTTTAGGGTTTAGGGTTTGGGGGTTTAGGGTTTTGGGGGTGAAGGACTCCCCCGAAAGACCGTGAATCCTCTTAGGCTCTCGGGGTTTGAGCCGGCGGTGTTGACGATGTTGGGGCCTAGGGGGAAGAGGGGTTCAAGGCCTTGGGGCGCTCTTACAGTTAGGGCTTAGGGGTTCAGGGTTTAGGGTTTAGGGTTTCGGGTTTATCCTAGGTAGTCTTAGGGAGACCCCTAAAAAAAGGGGACTCTTCTTACCCCTACTTTATGGCTCTCTTAAAACAGCGACCTTATTGAGAGGATCTATCTCCCCAGGGTTCTCCCTACTCCTAACTCCCAGTCTCAGGGTTCGACTTTCGTTCCGAGCCTTCAGGCTGAGGGCGTGAATAGTTAGGGGTTGCGCGGTTTAGGGTTTAGGGTTTAGGGGTTCAGGGTTTGGGGTTTAGGGTTTAGGGTTTAGGGGTATCCACCCATACGGTTGATGATCTAAATCCTGAGCATTACCTTGAAGGACCCTAAACCATGGGAGATATGGTCTATTCCGTATTATTTGTAATGCAGGATTTATATCATACACCGTAGTGCCTTTTTTGAGTTGTCGAAAGCAAAAAAACCAAGATCAAGACCATTGTTTTTCACAATTTGAGGGCTGCTGCGACAGGGTCCTAGGAAGCCTTGTATTACTTCCGGTCTGTGTTGTCTGCAAGGTCTGGATTGCAGCCCTTTTCTTTTCGGGTTGAAGGGGCCATACTGCACCTAAACCCTAAACCCTCACCTCTGAAGCCTCAGAGGTTGGCAAAGCAATTTCGGCTCAGATCCTCGTTGCAAGGACACCCTAAACCCTAAACCCTAAACCCTGAAGAAGCCCACCCTACAGCATATATACAGCCTACAGCCCACTCCCTGAACCAAGAAGCTGAAATCGCCAAACACATGCTTCTGGAAACTCTTCAGCACTTAAAAGTCTGGAACCTTACTAGAATCATACTGTAATCATGCTAAAGTCATACGATAATCATACGGTTGCAGCACTAAAACCATGCTAAGAACTGCTACCCTAAACCCTAAACCCTAAACCCTACACCCCTAAACTCTACACCCCTAAACCCTACACCCTACACCCTAAACCCTAAACCCTAAGCCCTAACTAACTAAGAGCTGCTCAATTTCTTGAGCCCCCCTGCCTGATGTGATCAGGCCTGGCTGGTCGAGCCGCTTGGGCTGCGCATGGCCCACGGCCCGCTGCCGGTGCGCCCATAATACTTAGGGTTTAGGGTTTAGGGTTCAGGGTTTAGGGGTTTAGGGTTTAGGGTTTAGGGGTTTAGGGTTTAGGGTTTAGGGCTTCCGAAAATAGGGGACCCTAACAAAGTACCCTAAGTAGTAGGATCCTTATTAGAAGGACCCCAAAATAAGGAAGTCCCATATAAACGTACTAGCCCCCTTAGGCCCAACATGGGGTAGTTCTCTAAATTAGGGTTTAGAGGGCCTTTTTTTTTTTTTACAGGGTGCCGTACTATGTTTGGGGGACCGAAAAAGGGGCCCGACTTTAGAGAACTTCCCAAATGTGTCAATAACGGTACGAGCCTATAAGATCCCCGGTTTCTGGCTTCATTCGACTGTGAATCCGATTTAGGGTTTAGGGTTTTCAGGGTTTAGGGTTTAGGGTTTAGGGTTTTAGGGTTCAGGGTTTTCAGGGTTTAGGGTTTAGGGTTTTAGGGTTTAGGGTTTTCAGGGTCTAGGGAATCCCTGAGGTCCAAAAGGCCGTAAACACTAAACCCGAAACCCAAATCTTTGAGCCCTCAGTCGGGTTCCGAGATTTACGGCATAGGGGTTTCGGATTTAAAGGTTGAGTGGGAGGATAGTGTGAGGAGCATTCTTTGTCTTCATGGGTTGATGTAACGTTCTCCCCTTTTGACCTGTCGGTTGTAGGCTTAGAAGCCCTTCTGGACATCGTGTTAAGGGATTTAAGCTAATTAACTTACCATGATAGGGGTCTATGATAAATGATATGGTTTGCTTATGATAGTAGCTTAACTTAAATCCCTGGACAAGAACCCAGGAAAAGAGGCTGAGGAGCTTTTGGTGGCCTTTTGGGCTCAAGCGTTTTGCGGCACTGCGCGCTCACCCGGTACCCTAACCCCTAAACCCAGTTTTGTTGACGCTGGCTGCAATGGGAGCTGCGGCCGGTCATGCAGAGGTGGATTGTTGCGTGCCAGATTATTGGGGAAGTAAGGAAGTTGCTTTGTGGATTCAGAGCCCGTCATCGCGTTCGATTGTGATGTTGATGATGCTCCGGATATCGACTCTCCTCAACCTGAGTCTACTGCACCTTCAGCAGTCCCGTGTCTCACTAGGGCTCCCACTGAGTCCCTCCACGTAGATGCAGAGCTCATCCGTTCGGTGAGTTTGGCCACCACGCTGAAACGTTTTGGCCGGCTTTGGCGACTGCGCCCGGAGAAAATGAGCAAGGCACAGCTAGAGAAGTTGTGGGCAACCTCCGTGAAAACAGATAGCTTCGATGCGTTTCTGTCGCACACATGGTGGACGCCCGGATATCAGAAGTACATCTCCCTGCTGCTCCATTTTTACTGGCACTATGCGCTGTCAGCTATGATGGTGACTTCGCTGGTGATCGTCATGTTGTACGGCTGTGACATCTTACCCATGCCTGTGCCGTACCCGGCGAACTTTGCACAGTTTCGAGGCGAAATCGCTTCCGGCCCATGGTCATTGCTGCTGAGTTTTGTAGCCGCGCTCTTGGCCCTGGCCTTTGCGCCAGCTTTGCCAGCCTGCAGAACCTACAGATGCTTTTATGATGTGGCATGCATACATCAGACAGATGCTGGGTTCTTGTTAAGGGGTTTAAGTTAAGTTACCATCGTAGGGATCTAATAGTAAATTCACTGGTTTCCTTGTTATGGTAACTTAAGTTAAACCCCTTAGCAAGAACCCAGGATGCTGTACTTCGTACGCGGGGCATTTACGGAATTGAAGGCTACCTTTCGGTCTCAAAGGAGCTCCGCATCTTGTGGTCTGATCCTCTCCTGTCTAGATTGTGGTGTATTTTTGAGCTTGCCGCGTATCGTCACGCAAATGCGCGTGGCAAGCTGATATTCCAGCCACTGTTCATAGAGCGGAACTTTCTGGCACTTTGGCCTTGCTGGTTCTTCGTTTCTTTCACGTATGCAATGGTCAACGCACTAGCAAACTGGAGGAGCTTGACCATCATCCCAGGCCTCATCAGTCTTGCAGCCGTCACCCCAGGTGCCCACGCCATTCGACGAGGCTTCCAAGAGCAAGAAAGCAGTCTTCGACAGATGGCTAACTTCGACCTGAGCAAGGTGTGCTGTTCCTGGGTTCCTGTTAAGGAATGTAACTTAAGTTACCATGATAGGGATCTACAGTAAATAATCTGGTTTCCGTATTATAGTAACTGACATCAAATTCCTTAAACCTTAACCCCTAAACCCTAAACCCAAAACCCCTAAACCCTAACATAACAAGAACCCAGGTTCAGATGATGCAGACAGGCAGTTTATTCTTACAGCTTTAGTTGAGTGGTACGGGAGCACGGCGGCCTTTACCGACTACGTCCGTGGACCATTGAGGGCTGAGCTGGTGAAAGTGGCAGAGGCTGCGACAGCACCCCTGTCCTACTGCTTGCTGATCTACAGTCCGGCTTTGGGATGGTCTTTTGATGTGCTTGGAGCCTTGTGGAACGCTGGTGCCCCCAGCGAGGTTATCTGGAGTTACTTTATTGGCGAGACGATCTCGTCTGCCATCATGTCAGTGGCCATTACTCAACAGGTTCTCATCGGCCTTTGCCAGCGGTTTGCGAAGCCGCGGTTCGAGAGCCGCACCATGGATTACCTTCAGACGTGTGGTGTGGTGCTCGTGTATGCCATGATCTCCGTGTTGCCCCTCGCGAAGGTGCCTCTCTATCGGAATTATGGCCTGCCTGGTGCACTGACAGGACTTGCGCTGTCAGTACTTTCTTTGCTGCAATGGTCACTCGTGGCTTCAAAAGGTTTCGGGCAAGTGTCAAGAAGCAAGCGAATGCCGAGGGCAGGGGAGCAACCGGGAGGAGCTCAGAAACAAGAAGTTAGGTTTTTGCACCAACTTGCACAGGAAAATGCATGCGGACGCCCTCT